TTGACCCTTATGACTGGTTTTGTGCTCCAGGGTCACATATATGCAGCAGTTAAAACGCACAGTTGTGGTAGGGATGTACAGTTACAGCAATAGAAGTGTTGTTTGTGAAGCATTTGTGACGTCATGTATAAGACAGTGCGGTCTCCTCACTTGATTTCGATGAGCATGTACGTGATGCCCAGAGCACAAGCTCCAGCGAGGTTGATCAGCACAAACGGGTTCATTCTGGGCAGGAGAAGGCTGCGGAGCGCCGGGATGAGTCCACACAGACTGCACACAAACATTCACACACTATGCATCATCTGCAGTGAATAACTCCGCATACATCATGGAGTGAGAAGAGTGCGCTACCTCCGGCTCAGATCGGCCACGTGCTCCTGAAGCCAGCTGGTGCTCGCGGCTACACACACACACACAGAGACACGGATCAGTTGTCTGTACCGCACTAACAGCAGCTAACGAGTGTTCAAAAATAAAGGCTGACTTAAGAAGTGAAAATTCAAAAAGTATCTTTACTTTTAGTCCGGCCACACTTAGAAACAGCTGTCTGTGGAAAAGACCTTACCTTCAGACACGAAGACGAAGGGCTTGTTCTTGACGGAGAGTAGAGTCAAGAGGTTAAAGAACAGAGCCACAGAAGTTCCCACCAGCAGACGCCCCCTAAAACAAGCACAGAAACAACCACACACAGCGCTCAGAGCGGCTTGTGAAGAGCTACAAACACTCCTTCATTCCCATTTAATTTGTCAGAAAAAGTCAGTGAATGGACTCGTAGCTGAACTTTAAAGTGGACTCGAGCCTCTTTTTATTTGTGATCTACTGTCTCAGTCTAAATCACATTCACACTGGTGTTTGAGGAAGCCAAACTAATTAGAATATAATAATAACAACAACAATGACAGCAGTTGCCATGTATTGTAAAAGAATTGCACTGTAAAATAAATGAAAATGAATATTTCATAGGCATATTATTTTTGCTTTACACTACAGCAGGGAAATGACAATACTTCTTTCCTAATTTCACACTTGAAAGAGATATGTTGAATTTTGGACCGTGAGCTGTCAGCTCTTTTGATCTGGGCATGATTGTACTTCAATGCTTACGACCAAACCAGAAGCGGGTATGAGCTTCAGTGAAGGCGTGCCATTCATCTTTAATGAAGTTCCACTAATTTGGAGTTCTCTCTAATGTTATGCTTTTGACAATGTGATAAAAGACTGGGCAAACTTGTTCCGCAAAAGAAATGGGCGTAGGTTTAAGCTGTACAAAATGTACATCGCAAGTGAATGCCATCGCCAATCCACTTTTTATATAGGACTTATGCAGTACTGTTTTTTGGTCATGTTTTCAGTCTTGTGTGTGTGTGTGAATGGTGAAAAGAAAAACATAAAGATGCAGAAAGGTTTGTGTGAGGATCAGGTCAGTGATTGTTGTACTCACGTGTGCACCTCGGGCTGCTCTACGAAACGCTCCACACTGAGGAAGGAGGAAGCACACAGTTAGCACACACACACACTCACTCGCTCGCTCGCTCGCTCGCTCGCACGCACGCACGCACGGACACACACACACACACACGCACACACGCACACACGCGCGCACACACGCGCGGACACACAGACACACTCAGAAACACACAGACACAGAAACAGACAGCCACACACACACACACACACACACACACACACACACTCA